TCTTCAGGTTTGTATGATCAGATTTCTTCTCTTTTGTAAATCACAGGAATAACTTCAGGAAGCCTCAGACATCCTCATATAAGGTTAAATATTTAAAACAGAGCTGCATGAGCCTTGAAAAGATCCAGACAAACATATGTTGAGAAGCTTTGGCAAAGGCCGGTGCAGCACAACGAGCAAAGGGAGGCCTAGCACCCCTGCACCCATTGTCAGGGGCCGTCCATCTTGAGCACAGCTTGCAGGCCTCATCTCAAGAATGAGGTCACCCAGAGCCCAGATGGGCAGGCGGGTTGCAGAATAAGATATGTCTGGGTGCAGATGTGAAAGGAATTGGGACTAACAACCATAATGGAAACAGGAAATGAGACTTAGGTCAGCCGAACTGCACAGTTGTTGAAAAAGCAAAACTTAGCCATGTGGTATAATTTTCATGCTCCATGAGGTTTACCACCAATCAGCCAACTTTACCAATAGATTAAGCTGTCACTACGAAAAAAAAAACCCTCAAAGGTGTCCGTCAGACCCCTTCCCCCCCAGTCTTCCTCAGTTCCTTCCTGTACTCCAAATCAACATTCACTAGAGCTGAAGGGTCATCCCATTCAAACGTCTCAACCCACTACTTTTTCCCTACTATTTAGAGCCATTACAATGAATCTGGCAAGGCCTTTGAAGACTGGAGGGGCTCAATGACATATGAAACAAGAAAGAAAAAATAAGGATTTATTATAAGAAAAGAGCAAGCCTCTTCCCTTATGGTACACATAGGCATGTATGTTCATAATAGGGATATACTCACAAACTCACCCATACACATGCACAGACACACACAGTGCTTCTGCCCTTTATACAGGGAGTTATTTTGAGAAAATTGTTGCTGGGTCTCTGGGCTAGGAGAGCAGCGAATCATTAATCTCTCAAGATGGTTAGGTTACGCTTGCTGCCGTGATGTTACTGACCTAACCCTCCCAGAGTACATCCAAGTCTGTCTGCCGACCTGAAAACTTAAAACAATCTCTGCCACTCTGCCCTTGACCTCACATGGACCCTGATGTCTTCTTGGCTGATGACAAAATTCATGCACAGCTAAGACATGTGGTTTCACAGGAATACCAGCACCAAGTTCTGCTATTTCTTTTAAAACTATCTATAACATTACTGTTTCTAAAAATCTACGATTCTACTCTTTAATATACACCAGCATGTTTAAGACTTGGGAAGCATCCTACACAAAATGTTTCTTAGTTCTTCAGACTCATTTCATTTTCTGAAAGGCCTAGAGTCTATGTGCTATATCACCTAATCGTAAAACATCTTATACAATTCTCTCTTTATTAAAAGCTCTGCTTTTCCAAAGGAAGTGGACCCAGAAAGAGGAAAACTTCAGGGAAAATGCTTAGGAAGGAAGTTCTTTTTTTGATTTGCTATTTTAAAACAAGAGTAGGAAGGGAGACAGAGCCTGCTGAGTTCATTAGCTGGTAATACATTAACGTATATCAAAATTAAATAAAATGTCCCAGATTTCATCTTTGTCAAAGAGAAAGATGCTGAGACTAGAAAGAAGAGTATGGACAAACTTAAGTGAGAGAAAATAGAGCCGAAGTCAAGAGTCAAATATAAGACTAGGAAGCTGGAGGAATGAATTTAAATCCTGTAGCTCAGAAGAAATTACGCACTCAAGATAAAATTACTGAATCCTTTAGGAAACCAAAATGCATAGAGGAGATCTTAGGAAAAACGAGGACTAAAGAGTTTGTCTGGCTACAAACTCAATACAACCTATTCATTCAATAATTCATTCATTAAAAAATGTGAGTCGGGAACCTACTAGTGACAGGAACTACCTAATATGTGTCTGAAATAATTTTGGGGCAGCTTTATGCGAAAAACAAGACAAAGTTTCCACTTTGATGGAGCTGACATTCTAGTGGTAGAGTCAGAAATTAAACAAATAGGGCTTCCCTGGTGGCGCAGTGGTTGAGGGTCCGCCTGCCGATGCAGGGGACACGGGTTCGTGCCCTGGTCCAGGAAGATCCCACATGCCGCGGAGCGGCTGCGCCCGTGAGCCATGGCCGCTGAGCCTGCGCGTCCGGAGCCTGTGCTCTGCAAGGGGAGAGGCCACAACAGTGAGAGGCCCGCGTACCGCAAAAAAAAAAAAAAAAAAGAAATTAAACAAATAAACATATAATGGCAGTTGGTGATAAGCGCCAAGAAGAAAAATAAAACAGAATAAGAAAATAGAATGTGAGTGTGGGGAGAAGTAAGTGTTCTATTTTAGGCAGAGTAGTCAAGTATGAACTTTCTGAGTAGGTAGCATTTGAGCAGCAATGAGTTAAGGGAACAAATCAAGAAAGGATCTAGGGAGATGAATATTCCAGGCATAGGAGGCAACATGTACAAGAGTCTTGAGTAAGGATAAAGCTTTGTGTGTTCAACCAACAGAAAGAGTATCCAGTGGCTGGAGCAGAGGAAAGTAGAGAGTGCAGTAGGATAGGTAAGAAAATCACAGAGGGTCTTGGAGCCACAGTAAAGAAGACTAAATTTTGTCTGTGTGAATTGGAGGATCCTGAAGAGTTTTGAGTAGAGAAGAAGCATGATGTGATTTACAGTTTAAGAAGATTGCTCTGTCTGCTTTGTGGAGCATATGTTAAATAAGATCCCAGAGAGGAAACCCTAAGACAAGTTAAGAGGCTCTCCTATCAGCCCAGAAGACAGATGAAGGTGACTGGAGAGGTATGCTAGAGGCGATATCCCTGGAAGGAAACGCAGATGGGACATACCAGTGTGTTGCCCTGAGGACTCAAATATGATAACCAGGTGTTGGCTGGGGCAATTGAGTAAATCATGGGGATATTTACTAAGATGAGAAATAGTGGTGGAGGAACAGAATTGGGAGTAGGGTAGAGAATCAAAAGTTACATGGGAAATGAGATTAATAACTATGTAATGGGATTGCTAAAAAAAAACCCCCCAAAAACACTAATGGGACTTTTGACTATATTGATAGAAGTGTAACATCCAGTTCAAAGGACACAATACATCCCATCTACTGTGAACTGTTTGTACCACATCTAACATTGAACAACCCTGTTCAATGTTAGACCCTACGTTTTAAGAGGGATATTGACAAAGAGACCCACGTTCAGAGAACAGAGTCCAGGAAGGAAAAGGGGCTCACATGACAAACGCTTCAGGGAAGTGGGGACCAGAGAAGAAAAGAGATTTCACTGAGAAAGAGGAACGCAGCACGTGGTGGTTGTCTTCAAATATTTCAAAAATTTAACTTACCCTTTGGGACTACAAAAGGCACTTGAGTAGAAGTGGGTAGAAGACACCAGGAGACAGACTTCAGAAAGGACTCTCTCAATTAGAAAGCTGTTCCAGTAGAGACTAGCCAAGCATTCATCAGGGGAGCATCAGTTAGGAGGAGGACCAGATAATATTCAAGTCCCTTCCATCCCATGGCTTTCATCACTCTAGATGTAAACTCCTTCTGGTTAGAAGCCATCATGGTATTTTTAAAAAGTCTCTAATAGGGTACATAGCATAGGATCAAAATATATTTAAAAATTCAACTTCTTTTTAACTTGGCATGCTTATCTAGCCAATGAAAACTTTTAAATAGTTGTTAACACTTTTTATTACTGTATTTTGTTTTTTTGTGTAGGGGTGCTGATGAGAAACCTGTTCTTGGCAATAAAAAGCCTGGCTCAACTCTTTCAATTTTTAATAATAGACTAAGACTCACAGTAACTAAGGCTAACACAGAAGCCTAAGAAGTCACTTGCTAATATCCTTCTGCCTCTAAGAAGAGCTGGATAGAGGGACAGCCAGAGTATGAAGAGGACAGACATTCCAGCTGAACACATCTGCCAATAATCTTGAAAAACTGTATTTCAAATGATTGTCGTAAGAATAAAATGAGTTGTTCCATGTAAAGCACCTAGCACAGTGCCTGGACCTTGATAAATGGTTACTGTTATTTTATCACTACAATTATTCACAAATGTTAAATCATTTCTGTATGTTGAACTGTCTGATCTTTAGTTTAAGAATCTCCAGGAAGATGGGGTGGGGCCTTTCCAAGGCCTTCATTTCATAATGCTTGGAGCTTGTTGCTGGGGCCCCCTAATGGATCATCTACAAAATGAGAGGGTAAGATGACCTTTAGAATCTTCCAGCTCTCACAGCCTGTTTCTAAAAGATTTACCACCACGGAGGATAGTCTAAAAAATGTGCTAAGTCTCCAAAATTGGAATTAATGACAAATTTTAGTAAAAGTGGCTGAATATGATATGATCATGTAGAAATAAATAACTTTTCTTCATACTAGTTAGAAAATATCATGAAAAATGTGACCTTTATAAAAGCAAACTCCGTAAAATACTTTCAAGTTAGTAAGACGTGCAAGAAACCTATGTAAAGAAAATGGCAAATGGTTCCTGAAAAATATAAACTAATTATTGAATAATTGGAGACAATGTTCTCAGATGGCAAAACTAAATGTTGTAATCATATTAATTATTGACAAATTGAGTTGTTTGTTTAAAGCATATGCAATAAAACCATCAACAGCATTTTTCTCTCTTTTAGCTTGCTTGAAAACTGTTTCAAAAGTTCATATGGAAGAATACATATGTAAGAATAGCTAAATATATTTTGAAGGAGAAAAGAAAAAAGACTGGGTGCAATACCATAGAGTTCATATTTCACTACACACACACACACACACACACACACACACACACACACACACACGAAGTTCTTAATATACTCAAGGGTTAAATGTAAAGGCCAGATTTTAACAATCAGCAAAAAACCAAATGGGTGAATATCTATCATCTCTCCAGCAGGGAAAGACTTGAAAGCAAGAGAGAAGGAAGGAAATGAAGGAAGGAAGAAGGGGACTTCCCTGGTGGTGCAGTGGTTGAGAGTCTGCCTGCCGATCCAGGGGACATGGGTTCGTGCCCCGGTCCGGGAAGATCCCACATGCCGCGGAGTGGGTGGGCCCGTGAGCCATGGCCGCTGAGCCTGCGCGTCTGGAGCCTGTGCTCTGCAACGGGAGAGGCCACAACAGAGAGAGGCCGGCGTACAGCAAAAAAAAAAAAAAAAAAAAAAAAAAAAAAAAGAGAAGGGAAAATTCACCATCCCAGGAACAATTGCTTGTGAACAAGCTTTAAAACTCTCATACTGTTATGGTGGTATGCCTCTGAAACTCTACTTCCAGATGCCTCCCGACCATATTACTCATATGATTTCACCCCACATCCCTCCAACTCATTCCAGTTTGTCAAGACATCTCATCTTTTAAGTTCTCCCCTCTCCCCAGAGTGCCACTGTATTGTTTCTTGGATTTGACTAGAGTGCCTTAGTTTGTCCCATCAACTTTTTTTTCTCTGGGAGGCAGACGGCACATTTTAGAGGACTTTACAGCATTCAAGAAAAAAAGGGGAAGAAAGCCCTTCCTGATGTCTGCTCTGAATTTGTTTGTGCTCTATTCTGTGTGTATCCCTCCTTTGTTCTGTCCTCTGCATCAGATGGAAAGTAATCATCCTGCCTGAAATGTATCTATAGCCAAGGCTCCATGTAAATTACAGAGAGAGATGACAAATTTCATGGCCTGGTTATGGTAAAAATGGCAAATTTCACAGTTTGTCATGGATTAATAGAAAAGGAAAACAAACACAAATGAAGTCATCCCAATTGTTAGAAATAATTCCAGAGTGACTATTTGATGAATTTAAACAATGGGATGGAATGCAGGCCATTCAACACGTAACCCACGATTTAAAATTTAATAAAAGACCTTGTAGCTTTATACTCAAACATCCTCATGCTGAAGGTTGAATTCAAACACACTTGCACTTCAGCCTGAGCCCGTAATGAGCAAGCTCCAAATTCCAAAAACCTGAGTTTACCCTTCTTCATGAAAAATAATAAAGCATCCATGAAATGTTTTCACGATGAACCGTGGATTGCAGATTTTCAGGGTCGTTGGTGACATCATGATAGATGAGGAGATTTATCTACACGTTTGGAAATGTTACACAGCTCAGTCGCTCCACCTGGAAAATATCTTTAAAAGATTAAGGGACTGAGCCCATCTTCATAGTTCATTCCCTTTCGTTCTAGTTTCAACTTTATTCCCTATCCTTGCTCATTCTCAGTTACTACCGCAACCTTGTGAAAAACGTGTTGACCAGGGCTTCATTCACCATGGGATTCTGAGAAGGGTCTTAGGGAAGAATTGGGTAATCCATCATCATCTCTTTAAACTCAGATTCTGTAGCCTGGGCTTAAGGCCTGGCATTCCTGCGGCTTTGGTAACTGTTTCTCCACTTTGTCCAAAATCCCTCAAAAGAATTCCTCATTGTTTCAGAACCTGAGCAGTGTTATTGCACTGTACCTCATTTCTATGTCTGTATTTGGCTTATGATCCGTGCAGTCCTTGTGTTTTTCTATAGCATTCATGCCTGGAGTCTGAAAAACAAATTCCAAGATTATAGTAGTATTACATACAGCCAAAATACATTCATTAGAGCTAAAGTTTTCAGGTTGCCTGATACTTGTCAATCCAATCACACTGACCATAAAAATTTAGTCTGCATAAACCTGTTAACCACTTTAGATTCTTCCACAAAAATGAAGACCTCTAACTAGACAGTAAATGCTAACGTATATGCAGGTGAATAAAAGTAGGAAGATAAAACAAGCGGTGACAATTGATGCCTTCAAGCACTAAGGTTTAGCGACTGTCCAAAAGTCTCAGGTGGAATAGGCACAGGACAGGATTTATATTATAAAAGTACATTCTAAATCCCTAATAAAGAAGGCATAGCTCATTTTTCCCCTCTGCATATTCAAAGCAATCACATTTGGTTTATTGTCAGCTTTGAAAATCATGACTAAGTCATCTGGAATTTAGAAATAAACAACAAAGAGTAGTCAGATACTGATGCCTCTTTTTTTACTTTATCGGGAGATTTTTAAGTCCATGGAAAAAAAGACAAGCAGAATGACCCCGGCTTCACCTTCAATCCCTTCAGTGCTTCCATAAACATTCTGTCCCACACTTTCACCTTGCTCACATATGTCACCTTGTAATGTTCCTGTGTGTATGTCTTACCTACACAACTAGACTGTAAGTTCCTTTAGGGGAGGGTCTTTATCATCTTTTAATCCATCCTGGAAGCACTGAGAATAATTCAAGGCCATAAGTTCTAGCTGACTTGAGAGACACTCCTCAGGACCCCATCAAGGCCATCAGTTGCACAGCTTACCAATTTCACTGTAGTGATCTGCGACGGGTCTTCCTAAATCACTGCTAAGGACTCAAGTCTCCAGAGCTCCACGGAGTATCACCGCTTAATATTCCCAGCACTGCCATAGAAAACAGTTTCATATGCAAATATAGCCACTCAGCTTTCTGATCAGAGACGCTTCACATTAAGGAAAGGCTGCTGGAACATCTGGTGTCCCATCAAGTTCCGAATATCACCATCAGTAAAGAGTGAGCCCCATTTGGAGTGTCAGGATAAAGGCACTAGCCTCTGGCTGAGCCCCCGATGCATATTGCTGATGGAATCTGAAGACAATAGTCATTTGCTCTAAGTCTGTGACAAATGATATAGGTTCTGGCAGATAAGAAAGAACTGAAATTTGAACCTGTTTTAAGGCCACAGGATCTTATGTTCACTAGTGCTCTGTTGTCTTCATTCTCATTCCCTGATAAAAAAAAAAAAGCCTCTGCAGTTTTCTGGGGGGTGAAGTAGGGATTGGTGGGCAATACCACTGAGCCACTATAGACGAAGGAACTTCCAAAAATCAGAGGTTGAGCAAAGAGTTGAGTGTAAAGCTGAAATCTAAAGAATCCAAAGCAGACCTTGAAGCAAAGGCTAAAACCAAGGGGCCCGAAGCAGGAATGGAAAGTAGAAATCCAGAGTTAGAAGCTGAAGCCCTGGTGGATCAAAAGTGATCAATCTAATACCAATGAGCTATAGTCTAAAATATGGCCTTTTTTTTTTTGCTTGCTCTCATATACCCTTTTAAAACAGATGCTTAGATAAGCCATAAAGAACAAAGGAAAAATGTACATTGCCTCTTCTTGGTGTTTCTTTCATCTCACAGGAAAAATGACAGGGCTTTCTAAACTTATCCAGTGGAAAACTCAGACCCAATGTGAGTCTTCTTGAAGTAGGAGGTTGGATCGCTTGACCTCTCTTCTTAACCTCATCTAGTGCATCAAGTTGAAAAACTAGCCCTGACCTTTTGCAACAAATCCTTGAATCCCCCATTTTGGGTTTTGTGGCTGCATGAGAGGCAGGGCTTGGTCTTATTAGGCTGGGTGCAGGTGGAAGTGGTAAAGATGTGGTTGATACCCTTCAGTGGGGGTTATTAGAGGTGCAAAATGATACACTCAGGCTGAACGAATGGCCAGAGGTTCCACACAGCTTCCTCCTCCTCGGCCTGATACCTGTCAGTTACATTTCATCTGGGATTGCTCTTCAGTCTGCCAGTGGGCAACTGGTAGACCTTTCTAACTGACCTAAAACATCTCCAGGTATCCTGATGCCAGAGCTATGGTGGCAATGGTCAGCTGTGAGGTTAATGGTCAGCTGTGAGGTTAAATTAACTTAAATCTGATAATGCAGACTTGGGTTTGCCACTTACCAACTCTGGGGCTTTGAGAAAACTACTTAATCTCTTTAAGACTAAGGTGTTAGATTTGTCAGATGGTTTTCTTCAAGGTGTATGTATTCATTAGAGATTTGTCAAATGGTTTTCTTCAAGGTGTATGTATTCATTAGAGATTTGTCAGATGGTTTTCTTCAAGGTGTATGTATTCATTAGAGAGGCACATAAGGCTGATGATGGTGGTGACAACGATGATGATACCTATCAGCCACTTTACCCAACAACAATTAATTTTCTACTGGTATAGGTCAGCCAGCTCTGCTCCAGGCAAGACTCAGCGATTCAGGTTGTACCTAGTAAGTGATTCTGACTGGAGCCCCATTAAATCCTCTGCAACTGCACAAGGAAAGAGGAAAGCAAGAAAGCCAAGAATCTCATGGAGGTTTAAGAGGTGGAGTCTATTCACACCCCATTGACCAGAATCAGTCCCACAGCTTTACCTCGATTCAGTGGGCTTGGGGAATGTTCCAGAAAGAGGAGGGGAGACACACACCTTGGTAAGTATTGCTAGGATCTGCCCTAGCCACCGTGGAGGCAGTTCATCTAGCTATTGGCAGCAGTTCGTGGAACTGGGCATGGAGAATCTGGAGCAGTAGAAACCAGGCTATGAATCAAAGAAGCAAGGGCTATAGCAGAGATTAGGAGGACACATCTTCATAGATGGGGAGCTGACGAGGGATAAATGTAACCATTTGAGTGGGCCTGCTCATCATCACCTCATTTATCCAATACTTTCCTGGATAAATGAGAGTGGGAATCCCTCCTTAGTCCAATCCTAACTAATATGATGTGAAGCCTGGATGTCTTTGTAAAGCCACTTTCCAAAAGCTGTTGAGATTGCTATGAATTGGTACAGTCAGGAAAAGCTTCAAAGAAAGTTAAGAACTTGATCTATGTTTTCAAATAGGCAAAGAACTAGACAATTGATACAAGGGTGAAAAGTTCATATGCTGTTAGCTGTTTTGTCCCCTAATTACCAAGGAAGATGATGAAAATTAAAGAAGGGAGGGTCACTAAAATTTTTGGTCATAGAATGAAAGTGGTCATAGGATGAAAATATATCCTTCCATTTTAAAAAAATTTTAATGTTATAGGCAAATTATTTTTTAAAAGATACCTTCTTCAGCCGTAAGTTCTGAGCTTGATGGTACAGACTTCATGTTTACAGATAAAGGGAGAGTTGCAATGTAGAAAATTGCCAAAAAGCATCCCTAATCTTCTTACAAAATTGTCTAAGAGTCTCATGATACATGTGCTTTCTGCTTTAACTGAACAAAGAAAAAAAAAGGGAGGGTGGGGGGAGGAAAGTAAGTATTGTGACGAGCAATGGACCTAAGGGAAAAGAAATACTCAGAAAGTGATCAATAATTCTTCCATATTTTCTTCTAGGGTACAAGGGAAAAAGTCAAGGGCTTTACCACCAAGTTTAGATAAAGTCTAGTAGCTTGAGAACTTTTCATGCCAAAGCATCAGTGTTCCAATCCCTAGGGATACTATATGTATGTTATAAAAAGAAAATGGAACCAACTTACAGTTCATGCACCTACAGATCTTCCTCACTTGAGTGACTTCTTCTCAATTATTAGAGGCCCGTAGATGAATGAAAATGTAAGTCTGTTATGTAACACCTGATAAGAGAAATATGGAGAGGCTGATATATACACATTACCCAGTTGTTATATGTATTATAGCTTACTTTAATTGGTTTTCCTTTTAAAGCTAAAACATGATCATAGGTAATGGAATTTAATTAACATTTACAGGTCTGTTCCAACAAATAATGTAACCTATTTTTAATGCATTTCTAAGAGCAGAAGCATTTACCTTTCTCTGTGATATAAGTTATCTATACTGAAACAACTTATTTTCTCTAAAACCATTTCTTCCTCCTGAAGCTCCTAATTCTTATAATGTTTCCCCCCATGTTGGTTATTTATCTTTTGTTTCTCAGGCCCACAGCCTTCCCTTCTACACTCTGCTGGGTATTGCTGGGGCTGGAAGCCTGCAAACTACATTTCCCAGATTCCTTGCCAGCTGACTTCTTATTCATGTCCTGTCAGTTGGAGGAACTGTTTGAAGATTAGAAAGTGGGAGGAAAGACAGAAGCAGTGGTTTGGTTTTTTTTTTCTCTGCTTCTTATTTCAACAGCACAGCAGTCGCTAGGAATTTCTGACGGTATGGTGACAGCAGGCGCAGAGGAACTACAGCCACTAGAGCCCCAGAGTGGGCAGCCCTGACCACAGTGCCGGTTACCCTGAGGCAACATTCCGTCGGCAGTTTGGGCAGCAGCCGGTCTGGGCTCCTAAGCTCCAGTCCAAGAGCACCAGAAGCTTCCTCCTTTTTCCATTAGTCTGTCCAGGTATAAAGCCTTGACGTCATGCATGACCATTCTCCCTCTCTGGTACAGCCTGTCAATCATCTTTTGCTTCATGATATGCTTCACACACGTATATTCTTTCTTTTCTATTCTCATTTACTCTGCCTTGGCCCACTCCTCATTCCCTGCTTCTTTCACGGGACCCCACAATATTCCCCCAGACACGAAACCGGGAGAGACCTGCATTTAAATTTCAGTTCTTCCAGTTACTTGCTGTGTGGCCTTGGACAAGTGATTTCACTTCTTTAAGACTCAGTTTCCTCATCTGTAGTAATAATAAGCAAAATTCGTTAAGTTATTGAGAACTACAATGTACTTGGGGCTCTGTTATCATTCTCTATTTTAATACTTATAATAATCCCATGATGTATGTGTTATGATTCTTTCATTTTTATAGTTGAAAAAACTGAGGTTTAGCAGAGTTAAGGAATTTGCTTAAAATCTCACTGCTGATTAAGGGAGGAAGTCGGGGTTGAACCCAGGTACCTCTGACTTAAAAGACTGTGTTCTGAAGCTTATTTAAGTGCAGATCATAATATAGATATTGTGAGGTTATTGCAATGATTAAATGAGATGTGTAAAGCGTGTATAGGGCCAACATAAAATAAGCATGTAATGAATGATGGATTTTATGTCATAAAAGTACTATAGTGTTCTTTATATCTTATATAGTCTTCTTTATATCTTATTACATGTGTATATCAATAGCCCTATATATCCTGCTTTGATCATCTTAACCCAAATGATTGGGTGTTTATCCCCCCTAGAAGCTTATATGAGAGTTAATAGGAAAAAAGGTTTTGCCTTACAGCTAGTTTTGCTGGAACATGTAAGTTTTATAGACAGACTCATACTCGCATTAAAGTACCCATATATTTCCTTATGTATTAATTTGTTCATACATGAATATACACTTTTCTTTTTGTGTAGGCATAGTCCTAGTTGACACTTAACAAAACTTACTTACACTTGAATCTTTAATGTTTTTGATATTAGGAGAGCAATCAAGATAAGTAGAGGCCTTCCCTGCTGGTGCAGTGGTTGAGAGTCCGCCTGCCCATGCAGGGGACACGGGTTCGTGCCCCGTTCCGGGAAGATCCCACATGCCGCGGAGCGGCTGGGCCCGTGAGCCATGGCCGCTGAGCCTGCGTGTCCGGAGCCTGTGCTCGGCAACGGGAGAGGCCACAACGGTGAGAGGCCCGCGTACCGCCAAAAAAAAAAAAAAAAAAAAAAAAAAGGTAAGTAGAAAAGCCAACTTCCAGGAAGCAGGAGTTGGCCCAAGGAGGTCAGGAGCAACCCAGTTAGAGAAAAAGGGGGAAAATCCTAAAGGCAGATCCCATGCAAGCCTAGAGCTAGAACACAGATCCAGTGAGTTCTGTTTCAAAATACAGTATATGTTTTCACGTAGTCTAGCTATGTTCTTCACTGAACCACTGGTTTTATTCGTTTCAATAATAATGTTTTATACCCCAAAGTCAAAAATTAGCAAAATTAGGAACCCAAGCAAACTTTTGGTATCTTCTGTGATCAATTCTTAAAATTTCTGGAGCATCACCTCATCTTCAAAGGATTTTGTTTATTTTTAAAGCAACCTGTCTCTCCTTTCTTACCCTCCATGGATAATTAGAATTAGCTCCTCAGGAGGCTCATGGTATAGCAAAAAGAGGAGTGAATGGGGGTCAGGAGACCTGGGGTCTGATGGTGGCTCTGATGCTAAACATCTTTGTGAACTCTTTGAGCCTTCATTCTCTCCTTTGTACAATGAGACCTGCAGTTCCACCTGGTGCAGAAATTTTTATTTTAATTAAGAATACTGGGGCTTCCCTGGTGGCACAGTGGTTAGGAATCCACCTGTCAATGCAGGGGACATGGCTTCGAGCCCTCATCCGGGAAGATCCCACATGCCGTGGAGCAACTAAGCCCGTGTGCCACAACTACTGAGCCTGCGCTCTAGAGCCCGCAAGCCACAACTACTGAGCCCGCGTGCTGCAACTTCTGAAGCCCGCGCGCCTAGAGCCCGTGCTCGGCAACAAGAGAAGCCACAGCAATGAGAAGCCTGTGCACCACAACGAAGAATAGCCCCTGCTCACCACAACTAGAGAAAGCCCGCGCGCAGCAAAGAAGACACAACACAGCCAAAAAAAAGAATACTATTCCATTCTGATTCATTGCAATGAATTGAAGCATACCCAAAGCGTGAACTTGGCTGCATTCCAAAATTCTGCCTCTGGGAACTCTAATCTTAACAATTTCACAGAACATTCGGTTGACCAAACGCTCTGAGCAACCACTCCGTGTGCATTTGCTTAATGTTCTGGAGGATGTGGGACCCAGTACCAACCTCCAGAGAGCTTATCGTCGAACTGGTGAAGCAACACCAAAGCGAAAATGCAAGTACAGGGTGAAATAGGACATGAATCAATTTTTTTGAGTGCTAAGCAGACAATAGTGCTGGGAACAATCACGGACAAAGAAGAAGGCATGGTCCATTTGAGGGAGAGTTTAAAGGCAAGTTTGAACAAAGTGGAATGAGTGAAGAGGGAGAGGATGAGCAGAAAACAGTATGGGCAGAGAGTGAAAGCCCTCGAATGCCTGTATAAGAAAACTTGACTTCATTCACCACACAATAGGGAGCCATCATCAGGTTTTAAACAATAAAATGATAACTTCTAAAGAATCATGAAGGCTGTCAGAATTGTTATTGGTCATGACATACAGATGTTTCATACATCTGAATGAACCGCTAAACCTTCAGAGCTTGGTCTTTATCTCATTTAATTGGATGAGTTGGATGGGTTCTCACAATCCATAAGAGCTTTATTTCAAACATACAAGTCACACTTACAGACATTCTTTTAAGTGTCTTTTGCTTCAATTAAGATACCTCCAACTTAAAGTGAATAAAGATCAAAACTAGTAGCTAGCGACAAAGTAAAAGCATCAAAGAATCCCAGTCTCTAGAACTTTCTCTTGCTTATTTAATTTTTTAACTAGATCTTATTTTACAAGGGGCTATTGAGCCTTTACGCTCCTCTCACATCTTTATACACATGTTGCTTATTCATTTCTTCAGTTTTGCAGTAAAGTTAAAACTCTGTCTTCATCCCAAGAAGGCAATTGGTTACATTTTAGGGGACGACAATGCCAATCACTTGGGTGGCTGGTGGATATTTCCTTGTTTTGTCATATTTAAAAGAACCAAACAGAAAACTTCCAGCATTCACTACCAAGGATTGGAGAGAGAAGAAATATCTATCTATTAGCATGAAACTTTGCTGTTTTCTCTACTGAATTAACTCCAATCATTTTAAGAAAGAACATTTCAATACATTTTTCTGACAGGTAGGAAATTAACTACATACCAGAAGCTATTGAATTCGACTTTAACAGTATCAATAAACATTTCTGATTAAATTATGAAATTGATTTTATAATTTTGACCGTTATGTTTTTACATCAATATCATCATATGGCAGTAAATGTAGTTACTACTTCCTTATTGATCTCAGACACGGCACTCTAAAGTATTCATTTGACTATATTACAAAATCAAACTTGATTTCCTGTAGTACTGCAGTAACTTCAGGTCGTAATCTAGTCTGAAGAATCAAAATAGATGAATTATTCAGTTATTAAAAGACATATTTTTCCTTGGAGGAAAAGGAACACTTTGGTCAAGTCATCCTTAATGATTGTGTTATAGGATATTTCTCCATGTGGGATTACTTTGTGTGGGTCTCACACAAATATACTATTGCCTCCCACTTATGTGTTATCAATCATGTTTCTTGTGAATAACATAAACGCCACTCGAAGAGAAAGAAATGTTTATCCTTCCTACTTAGGAATTCAACCAAAATGCAACGTTTCCATGACTTTAAAAACCAATGTCTTGGTCTCCCCAGCACATCCCATCAAAATAATACTAATATATTGAGCCGTTGCATTTCCTGAGAGGGTTACATATCTTATGTGTCTTTCACTGGATACATTTTTTTTATTAGAGTGTAATTGCTTTGCAATGTTGTATTAATTTCTGCTGAAAAGCTAACTGAATCAGCTCTATGTATACATATATCCCCTCCCTCTTAGACCTCCCTCCCACCCACCCACCTGCCCCATCTCACCTATCTAGGTCATCACAGAGCACTGAGCTGAGCTCCCTGTGCTATACAGCAGGCTCCCACTAGCTATCTATTTTACACATGGTAGTGTATTTATGTCAAATCTAATCTCCCAATTCATCCCACCCTCCCCTTCCCCTGCTGTCCATATATCTGTTCTCTACATCTGTGTCTCTATTCCTGCCCTGGAACTAGGTTCATCTGTACCATTTTTCTAGATTTCACATACATGCATTAATATACAATATTTATTTTTCTCTTTTTTGACTAATTCACTCTGTATGACAGACTCTAGGTCCATCCATGTCTCTACAAATGACCCAATTTCATTCCTTTTTATGGCTGAGTAATATCCCATTGTATATATGTACCACACCTTCTTTATCCTTTCATCTGTCGTTGGACATTTAGGTTGTTTCCATGTCTTGGTTATTGTAAATAGTGCCACAATGAATATTGGGATATATGTGTCTTTTTGAATTATGGTTTTCTCAGGGTATATATCCAGTAGTGCGATTGCTGGGTCATATGGTAGTTCTAGTTCTAGTTTTTTAAGGAACCTCCATACTGTTCTCCATAGTGGCTGTATCAATTTACATTTCCACCAACAGTGCAAGAGGGCTCCCTTTTTTCCAGACCCTCTCCAGCAATTATTGTTTGTAGATTTTTTGTTGATGGCCATTCGGACTGGAGTGAGGTGATACCTCATTGTAGTTTTGATTTGCATTTCTCTAGTTATCAGTGATGACGAGCATCTTTCATGTGCCTCTTCGCCATCTGTATGTCTTCTTCAGAGAAATGTCTATTTAGGTCTTCTGCCCACTTTTTGATTGGGTTGTTTATTTTTTTATTTTGAGCTGCATGAGCTGTTTGTATATTTTGGAGATTAATCCTTTGTCTGTTGCTTCATTTGGAAATATTTTCTCCCATTCTGAGAGTTGTCTTTTCTTCTTATTTGTGGTTTCCTTTGCTGTGCAAAAGCTTTTAAGTTTAATTAGGTCACATTTGTTTATTTTTGTTTTTATTTTCATTAATCTAGGAGATGGGTCAAAAAGACCTTGCTGTGATTTATGTCAAAATGTGTTTTTCCTGTTTTCCTCTAGGAGTTTTATAGCATTTGGTCTTACATGTAGGTCTTTAATCCACTTTGAGTTTATTTTTGTGTATGGTGTTAGGGAGTGTTTTTTTTTGAATTTTATTTTATTATTTTGTACAGCAGGTTCTTACTAGTTATCTATTTTATACATATTACTGTATATACATCAATCCCAGTCTTCCAACTCATCCCACCCCCCCACCCCTGCTTGCCCCCCCTTGGTGTCCATACTTTTGTTCTCTCTATCTGTGTCTCTATTTCTGCCTTGCAAACCAGTTCATCTGCACCATTTTTCTAGATTCCACATATATGTGTTAATATACGATATTCGTTTTTCTCTTTCTGATTTGCTTCACTCTGTCTGACAGACTCTAGGCCCATCCATGTTTCTACAAATGACCCAATTTCATTCCTTTTTATGGCTGAGTAATATTCCATTGTATATATGTACCACAACTTCTTTATCCATTCATCTGTTGAAGGCATTTAGGTTGCTTCCATGATATGTCTATTGTAAATAGTGCTGCAATGAACATTGGGGTGCATGTTTTTTTGAATTATGGTTTTCTCTGGGTATATGCCCAGTAGTGGGATTGCTGGGTCATATGGTAGTTCTATTTTTAGATTTTTAAGGAACCTCCATAGTGGCTGTATCAATTTACATTCCCACTAACAGTACAAGAGGGTTCCCTTTTCTCCACACCCTCTCCAGCATTTGTTGTTTGTAGATTTTCTGATGATGCCCATTCTAACGGGTGTGAGGTGATACCTCATTGTAGTTTTGATTTGCATTTCTCTAAAAATTAATGATGTTGAGCATCTTTTCATGTGTCTCTTGGCCATCTGCATGTCTTTTTTGGAGAAATGTCTACTTAGGTCTTCGGCCCATTTTTTGATTGGGTTGTTTGATTTTTTAATATTGAGCTGCATGAGCTATTTATATATTTTGGAGATTAATCCTTTGTTGCTTTGTTTACAAATATTTTCTCCCATTCTGAGGGTTGTCTTTTCGTCTTGTTTATAGTTTCCTTTTCTGTGCAAAAGCTTTTAAGTTTCATCAGGTCCCATTTGTTTATTTTTTATGTCCATTAGTCTAGGAGATGGGTCAAAAAAGATCTTGCTGTGATTTATGTCAAAGAGTGTTCTTCCTGTGTTTTCCTCTAAGAGTTTTATAGTGCCCGGTCTTACATTTAGGTCTTAATCCATTTTGAGTTTATTTTTTGTGTATGGTGTTAGGGAGTGTTCTAATTTCATTCTTTTACATGTAGCTGTCCAGTTTTCCCAGCACCACTTATTGAAGAGACTGTCTTTTCTCCATGGTATGTTCTTGCCTCCTTTTTCATAAATTAAGTGACCATACGTGTGTGTGTTTATCTCTGAGCTTTCTATCCTGTATCAGTGATCTATATTTCTGTTTTTGTGCCAGTACCATATTGTCTTGATTACTATAGCGTTGGGGAGCATGATTCCTCCAGCTCCGTTTTTCTTTCTCAAGATTGCTTTGGCTATTCGGGGTCTTTTGTGTTTCCATATAAATTGTAAAATTTTTGTTCTAATTCTGTGAAAAATGCCATTGGTAATTTGATAGAGTTTGCATTGAGTCTGTAGGTTGCTTTTGGTAGTATAGTCATTTTCACAATATTGATTCTTGAAAATGTTTCTGTTATATGGCCAACATTTAAAACCAATGGAAATTTTTATTCAGCAAAAAATAAATATAATAATTTATACATCAAATAATAGATTTTCAATAAATAGACTCTAGAATCTTCAAGTTGGAAGCAATCATAAAGCTCAATTCATCCAGTGTTCCCCAGAGCAGAATTGTCCTGTGTACCATCCCAGAAAATGACCAACTGATCTATCTCAACAGCACTGGAGCCAGAGGACTTTCTCTTTTCTAGATAGGTCATTCCATTCATGAATAATAGTGAACTTTGGAAGTTTCTTCTTATAAAACACTAAAATTTATTTACTGATTGATTTAATGCTTAAAGGGGGAAGGCATTATGAAAACTGTCACTTCAATAAAAGTGAGTCTAGCCCTAGATATTAGTTTCCTATTTTATTATAAGAATATATTACTGGCTTAATTTATGCAGGATAAGAAAATCTCTGAAAGGAAAGATATTTCCAAAAAGTTTGAAAGAGACAAAACAACAGAAATCTAATATTTTTATTATACTGACCAAGATGTTGGATTTCTACAGAGCTGGAGATTTGAAAAGCACGTGACAGTACATGACTTATTGCTCCAAACTCATTAAAATGAGCACTGCTCTCACTAGGATGATACCTATTCATTGTTTTCACAATTAATGGATAGGCTCTGAGATAGAATGATTAATTCAATAATTTATTTGTTAGGCAACTCTATGGAGTGTATTCTTCTCTGTGTCCAGCTCTCTACAAGACTGTTAAGAGTAAGCTGAGCATAATCTCTCCTCTCACAAGCCGGTGGGAATGCAGAGAGCACATAGTGTGCAAAGAGAAGGTTCTGTGATCAGAAGGAGAAAGCCCAGTTTCCACCAGGAGTTCTATCCTGATTTGCTTGTCTTGCCTGGATTACTGCAACTGGCCTTCTAACAACCAATTCAATTCTGCTTCACTCAAATTCACCTTTCATACTTGTTCGTGATGATTTTTCTAAAATACTAACCTGACTATGCTATTCCCTTGCCTTTAAGCAAAAGTGCATGCTCCTTGGTGTGACATACAGTCATGTATAAGAAGTTCCTACTGTCCTCCAGCCATTTCTCTCAGTAGCAGCCCCACCTCATACCTTGTCCTCCAGCCACACTGACTTCCTTGTGGATGTCCAGACACTCAGGGCTGGCTCACCTCTGGGTCTTCATCCACAAGGATCTCTTTACTGAGGATGACTGTCCTTCCTTGTTTTCTTCGTAGAACAAATTCGATTGAAGCCTCAGATCTCAGCCCAAAGTATCTTTTCAGGAAGTCATTCTGAGTCTCCCAATCGGGGTCTGGCATTTTTCTTCTTGGTTCAAGAGCACCTTGTGTTTACCTTAATTATGGATAGTAAGTTATTGAAAGCCTGTAGCGGTTATGATCCATATACCACTTAGGTTTTGTGATCACCTTATCCAAAGAGAGAAAGAGAGAGGGAGAGATGAGGGAGAGATGCAGGAAGGGAAGAAGGGAGGAAGGAAGGAAGGGAATATGCCTATTTCATAGGTTATTATTAAGCAGTAAAGAAAATTTTTGTGTAAATAAATTATTTAACCTACATCTTCCATAGATCTCAACCTTTCTTGAGTGTTGATAATTATTAAATTGATAAATATTTAAAAGATGGGTGAGTTAGTGAGATTCTGTTAGTGGCTTTGAGTGGCCCAAAGGAGTATTTACAATGTTCACAGATTATATTCCAAGCCTTGTCTGCTCAGACATCCTTTAAGTAACTTAGTACCATGAAAGCTCCAATTTGACTGCAGGTAAAGGACAGTCAGCATGGGCTTCCTTGGAGCAAAAGTAGCTCTAGTGCTGACAGAGGGAAGGTTTGACTCATCAGATTTGGGTAGCACAATCTCATTCTTTACTGGTTACTATATTGAAGTTCGTCTAAGGATAAGAAAAGGTAGACAGACTTGCATGGAGGCAGATTCTACAATAGCAACACTGACAGGCAACCTGAAGACATTTATCCTTAACATTGTTCGAAGGAGAAGGTTCATTCTTACACAAACAATCATCGGTACTATCCCTAAGCCTCAGAACTTGAATTCAACTTAAAAAGCAACAGGGCTTTCTTTTCCTTCTTCCTTCACTGTTTGTAAACTTTTGATGTTTTAAAAGTTTTAAATAAACTGCTCATTTAAAGTTCACAGCACTTTTTTCTCTGATAGTGAAACTTCAATTCCACCTTTGCAGATTAAAATAACATTACTTGTGTCTGTGATGCCCCCACGGAGAGAGGGTAATAAGCCACATGCACTTGGGGATACTGGAGACTCATTTTGGAAAGTAAGCAAACATTACTCAATACAAAACTTCCTCAGGCAGACTTATAGGATCTAAAATGGAAAATTAAGTGTTCATGCTATATAGAGTCATCACGACTCTTGGAACAGGAATTAGAAGAGTGTGATGTAGACCAGAGTTTGGCACACATTTCTGTAAAGAATCAGATAGTCAACATTTTAGGCTTTTCAGGCCATATGATCCCTGTTTCAGCTACTCAGCTCTACCATTGTAGGCAGAAAGCAGCTACAGACAATATGTAAACAAATGAGTATGGCCGTGCTTTGATGAAACTTTATTTATGGGCACTGAAATTTGAATTTCATGTAATTTTTCCATGTCACAAGATATTCTTCTTTTGGTTTTTTTTCTTAATCATTAAAAATCATTCTTAACTCCCAGGACATTCAAAAACAGGCAACGGGCTGGATTTGGGCTGTCAGGCTATACTTTACCCATCCCTACTCTAGAAAATATAATAAGGCACCTCTGGGATATTAGGTAGAAACCAAGCTATGCTGCAGGTAAAGTAAAGGATAAGGATTAGACTGCTCCTTCCCAGGAGTATGGGTACCCTTGGGGAAGCTTACAGGGACTCTCTGGGTGATACTCTGCCAATTCCCAGGAAAGGGATGAGAATACATTCAAATATTTTTACATGCTTGCTATGTTTTTCACTTTTCATATATTGCCTCATTTAAGCCTTAAAATGGCCATATGAGGGCATTTTTATTCCTTTCATCCCCATTTTACAGACATGTAAACTGAGGCCATAAAGGGTCGTATAACCTGGCCAAAGTCACACAGCAGCAAGCAGCAGGCATGAGATTCTCACTCAGTCTGCCTAACTGCAGGGTCCGTATGTTTTCTGTTCTACTACCCATAGCACAATGTCCCTGAATCTGCCACTACCTTTGGAATTCACCATTTATAACCGGCAAGTGAATGAACGGTGTGGGAGTCACCGACAGTGGCATTCAAGGCCTTCCATACCTGCTTCCTTGATACACATGATGAGGCTTCAATCTTGCTGTCCAACTCCTCTCCCACTCGTCCTTACATGAACTCTTTGAATCCTGAAGATGTCCTGCCTCTGTGTTTTTGCCAAGGCCATTTCCTATCCAGAAATTCCTGGCCTCCCAGGCCCAGTTCAGATATCACCAGTACCAAGAGCCTTGCCTGGACCAGAACCTGAAAGGGACCCTTTTAACATGTGATTACCTTGTACCTCCCAGCTGCCCTCAAGATTATAGTCATTGATGTTTAGGTCTTATCCACCTGTTATTAGCTCCTTGAGGACAGATAAAGTACCACATGAATCTTTGAACCTTCGTATATATTACATAGGTTGAGTGCTCAGTGTTTGCTAAATGAGTTAACAATAAGATTCTTTATCCAAATAAAAAGCTACTGTCATCCTCAGGAAAATAAAGGGTAGATCCTTTAAGATGGACAATGGAGGGATGCTCTCCAACAGGGACAAGTGATTAGGCCACTTGATTTTGTCCCTCACATTGGAAATCCAGCTCTCCCTGGCTATCAGCTCAACGCATCAACCCTGGGGCAGAGAGGGAACTTCTGCCTCTTTCACATTCTGTCCCAAGTATGGGCACAACCTTTTCCTGAATTCCCCGTAGTACAGCTGAAATGAGGCAGAAGCATTTAAACAAGAGTTTACTAGAGGCTAGAGGATGACAAAAGGGAAATACACATAAAGAGGGACTAGAAAATGGGATTGTATGAGTAACATATAGTTTACAGTCTGCAGCTGAGTTCAGCCACAGGGAAGCCTGCATGTGGCTGACGCCACCTCACGTCCCCACTCCTGGGAGTGCGTGTAAGTGTCCCTGGATTCTCTGAAATTGAGATTCAGGAAACAGGGTCCCAAAGAGACAAAAGTTTGCTTTGACTCTGGCTATAACTTGCTGTCAAGACTTTCAGGTCTTTTGTTAGAGAAGCTACACTTTATCAGAAAAATAAGTTCCAGGGTGTTAACCTCCTTTAGGTCATAAATCATCTTGATGTGATGCAAAGCCTCAAATCTGGGGAGAGGTGAAGTGCAGGAAATCAGAATCTGATACTGGATACAAAAAGAGAAGGGCTGTTTGCTGACTGTGTTGAGAGCAGAAGGTGCAAGTGGCTGAAATTGCAGAGGAAAGGACTTGGGTAGTTATAACAGAGACTTCTTACTAAAAGGAAAGTTGGAGCAGAGAAAGGCTATAAAAAGTCTGGATATGGGAAAGGTGTTCCAATGGGATTGAGGTCAGTCACCCTCAGAGTGTCCCAGTTTATGACGGTTTGAAAGTAGGGACAAAGAGGCCAAGGTATAGACTGGGGGACATTTAGATTTCTTTTCAGCATTGGGTGTCTTTAAATCATGGATTGTGGAATATGGCACTTGAAATGAGAACTCAACTTTTAATATAAAATCATGGGCAATTAATATGATTGTATTTTAATTTTTTAAAATTTTTTACTAAAGTAGAGTTGATTTACAATATTGTGTTCGTTTCAGGTGTACAGCACAGTGATTCAGTTTTATATTTTATATATATTCTTTTTCAGATTCTTTTCCCTTATATAGGTTATTACAAAATATTGAGTAGACTTCCCTATGCTATACAGTAGGTCCTTATTAGTTATCTGTTTTATATATAGCAGTGTGTTTATGTTAATCCCAACCATAAGAACTATAAGAAAATACACTGAATGGTGTTAAGTAGAAACACGAAAAAGATGCATAAACTTTAGTGAGTTATTTATAATAGTTCATAGAAAGAAACATAGAGGGAAGGATAGAGAGAGACACTGGAGAAACTTGCTGTGTGACCATAAGCAAGTCAATTTCTTCTGGGTTTCCCCATCTGTAAAATGGGAAATGTTTCCAGGGCTGAGTGAGGATCAAATGAGATAATAGAGGGGAAAGAGTTTTGAAAAGTAGAAGGCACTCTCCCAAATGGAAGGGATTATGATTAGCTAAATGCATTACAGACCCAGCAGCATCAGGAAGGCTCAACCTCTGGCAAACAGCAGTCCAACAGGTGATTTGAGTAAGGCTGAGGTTACATTTTGATTAACCCATATGAAGCCCTTACATCATCTAATGCAATGTGATACACCCAAACGGAGCGCCTTCAAGCCAAATTGAGCCTCTAGTTTCATGTTGTCATGATTGTGTTTTTCATTAACTTCAGTGACCCTTGCAGTTCCTCATCTAAGGAATGGGGGGGCGGGGGGTGTCTGTAAGGAAGCCCGGGAAAGAAGAGAGAAGTTTGGATGCTAAAGCAAGGGGACATTAACTTTCGTAAAAGAGTAAATTTAAAAAACATAAACAAAACCAATAGGTCAGTTAAGCAAGTGGGTCATTTAAACTTGCCAAAGCATGTAATGAAATAGATAAGAATGAGTTTGGGGGGGTGGTTTTGTTGTTTGTTTTGTCCCCCAAGGGAAGTACCCGGCAGGGTCATGCCTCGTTATTCATTTATCCCAAGGTTGATATCTTTACTCGGTTCTATGTATAAATAAAATAAATGAAATTCACTTGACCATATAGAATAAAACTCTTATTAGAAAAGCAAGAGTGGTGGAGAATATTCTTTGAATACTGTTTTTGTAAGTCCATTATTATAGATTTTTTAAAAGAAGGAGGGAGACTATTTTTTAAAAGAAGGAGGGAGACTAAAACACTCACCCAAGACCGAAGCAAAGGAAGAGCCCTGGTTTGGACCTCTTTGGTTGGAAAAGTAGCATTCAGTTCAGCATGACTAACAAGATAGCCAGGCGAATGATTCATCAGGCTCGTAACTCAGCAGGTGCATTGCTGCACGCCAGCCAAAGAACCATTCACGGCTCGTCTCAAGCTGTGACCTCCCCTGTGTGGCAAGAACAAGAGAGGAAGATCAGGCCCTCGGGTTTCCTCCTATGGGTGTGTGCACATCATTTTAGTCCATCCTACTCAGAAAATATTTATCAAACACTCCTTCTGTACTCCTAAATGACACTGGTGGTGGCGGGAATGGGAATGGAGGTAAGGAAAGGAGAAGAGTATAAAGGAGAAACTATCCCTGCACTCAAGGGATTTATGAACTAATTAGAAAAGTCCATGAAAGCAAGTATTGAACCACAAGTTAAGTTATAGTAGTACAAACCCAAAAGCCAGGACACAGGATATAGCACTAAATGAAAAGAAACATAAAACTAAGAATACACTCGAAATGAAAATTTGACTCAACGATTTTATATATATATGTGTGTGTGTACATGTATATATATGCGTATGTGTGTGTGTGTAAGAGTCACATACACACTAATAATTATAAAATTACATACCCAAATGTAACCCAAACTGGTTATTTCTGCATATGGGTTTATAGGTGAATTTTTTTCTTATGTATACAATTTTGTACTTTAACTTTCCTGCAGTGAATAGAATTCACTTTTAAAACCAGGAAAATAAATTACTAAAACACACACACACACACACACACACATATATCACATATGACAAATGTGAACGCTGTGAGAAGAATAAGGAAATGTCCTAGAGGAATTTTGACTGGAAGGGGCAGAAGCCCTGGGAGATGGATGGATGCTCGTAAGAAGCCCGAGAGGGTCTGATTTTCCACCTGAGACCCACGTGAGGGAAGTGGACAGTCATCACTGTAAGGCTACATGCAGGAAGAGAGGATGCCATGGAGAGTTCTAGATTCCGATGAAAAGGCCAGGACTGCATAAAGTTGAGCTGTTGGTGAGCTTCACCTCAGGACTGTGACTATCATCAAAATGATTCATTCTGTAGCAGGAGCAAATTGTATGATTTTGACCAGCCTATCAGCCTTCGCTTCACACACCCTCCTAAGGAAGACCCCTGTGGCATGAACCCTGAACCTTCTCTTTGACTGTTTGGGATAAACAGTAGAAAGCACTGAAAAATGGAATGAGCAGAGTCAGGGTAGAGTTTTTGTATTTAGGGGGAAAAATTAGAATTACTAGCTGGAGAGAAGGATTTGATTTAAAAGAGGAAAAATGAGAATGGAGGAGTTAGGAGCTACCTGGGCTGTATTTCAAGGAGTTTTTGATGGAAGTTGAGAGAACAAAAAGGATCATTTTCTTCTTTGAGAGACCTGCTGTCTCCATGGTGATCACAAAGTGTGGCAGAAATAGGAAAAAAAAATGTTTTCCAGTACATTGAGAATGATCTCCCCACTCTGGCATCTTCTAAGATGGGGGTCAACAAACTTCCTGGAAAGGGACAGATAGTAAATATTTTCAGCTTTTAGAACCACACAGTGTCAGTCACAGCAACTCAACTTTGCCACAAAAAGTGGACATAGATAAAACATAAACAAATATGGCTATGTCTCAATAAAACTTTATTTAAACAAACAAGCAAAAAACTATTTTAAAAAACCCCAGATTTGGCCTGGGAGCCACAGTTTGCCAACCCCTTCTCTTTGAGAGTAGTAACATTTAAACATCTTTCTATTATTTTCCCCTGACATACTGCTCTTTCTTTGACTCTATATTGTGCATAGACAGGGCCATGTGGTATGTTAGTTATATTCAGGTTACAGCAATAAACACAGCAAGTTCTTTCATTGGCAACTTCAGAGGCATTAGAGCTACAGAACAGGACTATCAGAACATTGCATGATTTTGTTTTTTTTGTATGTGATTTCCTACAATAATCAGGAGGGAAAACCTCATGAGGAGAGAGGGCTTATTTTCAGGAGCTGTCTTATTCATTACACCTGCTATAACAGAATACCATAGACCACGTGGCTTATAAACAACAGAAATATATTTCTTCTGGAGTCTGGGGAGTTCAAGATCAAGGCACCAGCAGAATGGGTGTCTGGTGAGGGCAGCTTCTTGGTTCATAGACGATCACCTTTTTTCTGTGTCCTCACACGGTGGAGAGGACAAGGGAGCTCTCTGGGGTTTCTTTTTTTTTTTTTAATGTGTGCATCTTCATTTATTTTTTTAAATAAAATATAGTTGATTTACAATGTTTCAGGTGTACAGAAAAGTGATTCAGGTATAGATAGATAAATGATAGATAGATGATAGATAGATAGATAGATAGATGATAGATACATAAATAGAATATAGATATCTAGTTATCCCTCCTCGACCCCTTTCCCCTTTGGTAACCATAAATTTGTTTTCTTTGTCTGCAAGTCTGTTTCTGTTTTATAAATAAGTTCATTTGTATCTTTTTAAAAAAATTCCACATACAAGTGATATCTTATGATATTTGTCTTTCTCTGACTTCCTTCACTTAGTAAGATAATCTCTAGGCCCATCCATGTTGCTGCAAATGGCATTATTTCATTCTTTTTTATGGCTGAGTAATAGCTCATTGTGTATATAAATAAATATATATATACACATATATAAATCTGGGGTCTCTTTTTATAAGGGCATTAATCTCATTCATGAGGGCTCTGCTCTCATGACCTAATCACCTCCCAAAGTCCCAACCTCCAAATAACATGACATTAGGGATTAGTTTTCAGCATATGAATTCTGAGGGGACACAAACCTTCAGTCTATAGCAAGAGCAAAAAGAAAGAGAGGAGCTGGAACACTGTGTCTCCCCAGACTAACTTGCATGAAGAAGAACCTCAAGGGGCAGAAAAGGCGGTGACAGATAAAAAGAGGAAACTAAAGTGATCTAAAGAAGAAGAGCAAAGGACCTGGAGCAGGCTGGTCTGGCTTAGCATGGAAAAGTCTATGTGGTTTCTTAAAAGAACATCATTCACTCAGTCAATATCTATAAATCACCTCCTATGTGCACAGTACCCAGGCAGTCATGGGAGAACAAGGCAACAGGATATGGATTCTGTCCTTGAGGAGCTAGTCTGAGAGGGAACAAGGAGAAGAGACTGTCGTGGGTGGAGTGGAAAAAATTATTCATAGCTGGTGAGGAGTAAGGCTCTATAGAGAAGAAAGTCAATGTCGTTGCTGCTCCTTGACCAGGAAAAGGAGATCTGAATTGCCTGGCACTGCTCACTTTTGCATCGGTATATATTTCTTGAGCCACTGAACACACGAGAGTTAGGAACGAAAAGCCAGTCTTTGACCAAAGATAGCTTTGCAATTCAAGGGCAAGACGGGCCTGACCTTCCAGACAGCTCATGTGAGATGAGTTTGGATGGGTTGTTCCTACCCATTTACTCACAGGGACTCAAACATCTATGGTGGCAAGACACCATTATTTCCTCCAAGACAGATGTGCTAACTGGCTAAACAGAAGTTTGCTGTGCATGTTGCTAAGGATCCAGAGAGTTAGAATAAGTCTGCTTGACTAGCTGACATTTTCACTTTTCAGCTTACTTTTGGCATGCCTTAGAAACAGGCTGCGATGAGATGACTTCTACACAGGTCAAATCAAGTGTAGTATTGGCCAAGGGACTTCCTAAGAAAGTGCTGTTCCCTATCTAAATAAGAGTATCCCCCCTTGTTAACCCTTCAAAGAAAGACACGGCCATGTCTGTGCCATTTTGGTTCAGCTTGGTGCCAGGCTCACAGAAGGACCTTTCTGTTTGTGATGAGTGACTATAGCAGAGGACACATGGGCTTTTTCTTCATTTATTTTCCCCCTATTAGGACGCTTTTCCTACACTGTGTGGTCATATTTTGTGCTGCCCAATGTAGACACTGCTGCTGCTGAAAATTCCCAAGGGTCAGAGAATCCTAGAGCTTCTAAAACCAAGGAATGTATCTCTGGAGGCTTCTAACATGTGTCCACATACTACTTGTTTCATTTCAAACTTTTCATTTCATACTTGTTGCAGTTTAGTGAGATTAGAGAAGAGCAGAACAAAGAACAGCTCTGCACTGGACTGACCTGCTGGGTCATGGCTGAGGCCCCACGCTTCCCGACACAGGCACAGATGCCCAGGCAGGGTCTGGCCCAACACTGTGATGTTGCTGTAAACTACATCTCATTTCCTTCTCTTCCTGTATCCAGTCACCACAAAGACCTATCATTAAGGCAACTTTGTGTTGCCTTGCTCTCTGTGTCCTATCAGCATGGGGATGACGACCATCTGTGGAACAGAGAAGTTAAGCAGTTGCAATTTCCAGGAGGCTCAGTACTTCCGATCTTAAGGGATGTAGGCTTTAATCTTGTCCTCCTGAAAATACTGGCTTTCACGTCTTCACATCCAATATTTCTTTTCCTCTATTCTCTGCTTCCCAGTGAGTTCAAGCCTCTCTTGGAGAGAAGAAATGACTTTCAGATCACTCAGTGGGTCAATGGTGGATAGACAACAAATTCATATCCATCATTATACTCCAAGACTCAAGAGCTATTGGGCCAGAACCAAAAAGCATTAATTCATTCTTTTTCTATGGCTGAGTAGTATTCCATTGTATGTATCTATACCACCTCTTCTTTATCCATTCAGACTATTAACGCTTATTCCAGTATTTCTCATGCTCCTGACCAGAGCCTCTTTGAAAGAAACAGTGTGGAATTCAATTTTTATACTTTTTGGGTCTTGAGTAGAGAAGCATATGATATCAGCTTCCTCCTGTGTCATGGGTGTCAAGATCTGTTCACAGGAAGCCACAACCATTCAGGTATTTTTATGTTTCTTCCATCCTCCCAACCCCAGTTTCTCTCCCTCCCCATTTGTAAGAGCTCCCCCCACACTTGGTTTAATTATTATTCTCCATTTCCTTGACTCCTCCACCAACCTCCTCAACTCTCTGATGATTTTGTCTCCCTTCTCAGTAGGTTTTCTGATTAACCTTCATTCCTCCTCTTT